TTTTAAATGTTTGGTATGAATAATATTATCATTACATTTACATATACTTGCTATTTAATTAAATCAATTGATATTGTATTAATTGTTATAGATATTGCATTTATGCACAGATACACATACTTGATTTTTTTTTGTTAAATACCTTGATATAAAAGTGTACTATATATTTAATATATTAATTTCTGTTAAATATATTATTTCACAGCTTTCCTAAGGAATCAGCTATCCGTAACTGTTGGATAATCACTACTGGTAGTGATTATAGGAAACCAACAAAACTTAGCAGTGTAAGCTCAAAACATTTTGAGCCTCATTGTTTTAGATGAACTAAATATTCTTAACTTATGTAATTTATAATATAATTAAGATAATTTTTTTTAATTTTATAATTTCTTGTTGTATCTTGTTGTTTCTCCATAAGTGATATAAGCTTGACCTTGTTGGTAGTTATGATTTTTGACATTTTTCTGTATGTATTAAAAATTGACTAGCATTGCTTATTTTACGAGTATTTTCAAATGCTGACATTCTGTATTATTATGACTTGTTATAATTGGGTTGCATGACAATAACAAAATATTTACTTATAGATGTATTGATTAAACATGAATCCTCATTTACAAATGATGGAACTTTATCTGTACTACCATAGTTTTTGCAAATAAAGATTTAAATAAAAGAAATTCCTGACCTAAATATACAAATGAATAATTTATTATTCAATAATAATTGTAAAACTGACAGGGAATGCCTACCAATGGGATATTTAGTTCACCCTTAATCCCTTTTATAAAGGTGTTATAAACAATCATGTGTAATTAAATTAAGAAATAAATGTAATAATTATGATAATTCCTATTTAATTGTCATAAATAATGTAATAAAGATGTTTTTGACAAGAGATAAATATTACCTATCTAAGTATAGTTTAGGAGTTGTACCTTATTATTTATACCATTAAAAAATTTATGATAGACAAGGCATATAATATATATATATATATATATATATATATATATATATACTCCCTTCTAATCCGATTCTAACAACCAGCACCCAAAAATTTCTGCCATGCAAAAGTATAAATAAAGTTTACAAATGCATATTTTTGAGAAATTCTAAAGTTATTCAAACCAAGAATTACAACGAATGCTCTAGAAAGAAGACAAAAATTTTGTTAAATTTGTTGTTTATTAATGTGGTGAAAAATTAATAAATAATCGTTTATTTTTATTTTATTGAATTATATTTAATATATAATTGTGTTTTCATTTGTTTTACTTAATGTAACGTTGTTAATATTTCTAAATGTTGTGTAAGTACACAAAATTTTGTTCTTTTTCCTTTTTAAATTTCAATATATTTTCATTTAAATAGAATATATATCTTTACAGTCTATTAAAAGTCCAGTGTTGAACATAAACATGATTATAGTTATTTGGCATAGTTTCAACACTTGGAAAGCGGGTTGTCAACCACTGTTTTTTTTATTTATTTAGTTGTTATCAGGACAATGCTGCTGTTTATCTTATTTGATGTTTCCTTATGTCGCCTCATACACCACCTATGGAATGATATGAGGTAGCAGATAATCTTACACTGCATGGTAAATTAAAATAGAATAATACAAAATATTCGTTTTTATTTTATATACCAACATATTACAAAAACAAACCCTTTGTTGATGCTTTACAACGTATATTAACTAATACATTTTACCACCTTAACAATTAGGTAACATGATTAAACCACCTAACCACCTAAAAAGGCCTTCTATAGATATCTCCATAGGATGACTTTTGCCATAGTTGCCACGCCTGCGTGAAAATATGCGTTATGCTGGTTGGCCGCCGCAGTTTTTTATTATTTTAAGTTTTCATCGGGAAAGTGCTGCTGCTCCATCCTCATCTTGTATTATTGCTTACGACGCGGGGTAATATCATCCCGTGTACAGACAAATTCCCTTGTACGCCACAACTTGCCGCACACAAGACACTAACTTAGCAAAACATGTAGGAAATCGTGGGAGTAGGCTCATAACCGTGTTTTGTACTACAAAACCTAAGTGGAAACCCTTTCCTTTCGAAGGTCTGTGTTCAGCACTGAACTTTGGTATGTTAAAACATTATTGTTTTTTTTTTGTAAAAACAACAAAACTCGATACAAGCAAATTTTTGTTTATTATTTAAAAATTTTATTTTCAATTAATATTTAAGTACATACATAACATATTTTTATTTATTAGCGATATCACCTTTTGTGCTAGTAGCGTCTTCACTTCGTGCCGTCGAAATCCAAAGAGTTTATTGAATATCCAGTAAAATCGTCGATGCGCCGTTGAATACAGAATGATGATTCTGTTTTACGCCGTTTCCGCCCGTAGTTTTTAGTCACAGAATGTATTTTCAAGAGAAATGAATTAATCATCTGAATTATAAAAGAACATTTTTTTATGGTAACAATTAAGTTATTTGTATGAACGTAAGTGCTGTGAATATAAATAAACCAATAACGGGGGAAATGAAACAATATCTGGTAACACAGTGAAAGTACCTCCCGCCTATTTCTATCTCAAAAACATACGCGAATGCTTTATCTAAGTCAATCCTCTATCTACGGCTTAGAAGCATGGAGTATAGAGTAGACTACTCTATACTATGGAGTATATGTTTAGAGCGGATGTTGAGAGGCGAGGGGGGGCGTTAGCTGTCATGTATCATCTTGCTATGACATTTCCTATGTCCAATATATTTTCTCTATGAAGATTACTGCCCGTGACACAGACTAACTAGTAGATCACAGAGTACTTTTTATAAGTAGATTGTGCCCGAATCGGGTCAAGTTCCAGCCGTCCCCACGAAATTCTCATCTATTTTCATAGATTATTAAAGAAATGCGTTTTGATAATGCAAATTATATCTAAAACTTTTGATTCATTTTAAATATAACAATATATTTTATTATTTGGCCACAACAAATTAGTTAGTATAAGTCTACTCATTCGTATGTGTTGAATTAGACAGTACCGTACGATGCGGGCTGAGATATTTTGCTTGGGTATCAAAATCAGCATATTGCACGTTTGTTAAGAATAAACAACAAAAGCAATGAACCTCTTCGTGTGCATTGTTAACTGATGATATTATGCTAGATCTAGAACGATCCTTGTCCTCCATTCAAAAATGTGTTGCTCTATATAGTTTAATGAAAATCCATCTTTGGTATCGCATTTTCAGATATTAGACACAACTTGTATACACAATTCGAGAATATTTATAGAACTATTGATAATTTGGCAATTAATATTTTCGAAACAACCCAAAGAGTATAAAACAATCGATAGTAAAAATCGCCTACAAGAGGTAAATTGAGGTGGTCTCGGATAATAATCTATACAAATAAATAAAATTGAAGTGTCTGTTTGTAATATCAAAATTACAGTTTTTTACTAAATGCATATGAAAGTAAATACGGTACTTATAACTAAAATACAATTTTTAAAATTTTTGTCTGTCTGTCTGTTTGTTCCAGCTAATCTCCGAAACGGCTGGACCGATTTTGACGGGACTTTCACTGGCTGATAGCTGATTTCATAAGGAGTAACTTAGGCTACTTTTATTTTAGAAAAAGTATTGGGTTCCGCGTAACAACATAAAAACACTAACACGCGAGCGAAGTCGCGGGGAACATCTACTCAGTCATAAATAATAATTAAATTAAAGTAAGAAAGAAGAATTTTCCATTTGTACACATTAGAAGGAAATAACGTATGATGCGTTGCCAAATAAAAAAAAAGCCACGCGTGCGTTAGGACAGGTCAAATAATCTTTTTAGTCAATGACAGCTAGTGATTTGAATATATATAAATATTTATTACTTTACCCGTTGATCAATATCAACATTGCATTTTGCAACGCTTGCGTAATAAGAAAAGTTATGAGTGCTATGGTGTTGTGGTAGTGTTAACTGATTTTAGTTATAAGTTTTAGCGAAAAGGACGCTTTTTGTTAAAAATTTTGCGTTAGTAGTGTGTGGAACGTGGAGAAGGGCATATCAAACCTAAAAACTCAAAACGACTGCTAGAGAATCTCGTATCGACCGACCACCGGTATGAATGAACTGTACTCTGTAGGTCTTTTAATAACTTGGGGTTTTAATCGGTATTTAGTTTGTTCGAAGATTAAAAAAAAACAACAATGGTTGAATTTTAAATTGATTAAACTTTACGTTACTATCAATTAATACTATCATTGTATTTATTTAATGTCATACTTAACCAGGCCAGGTGAATTCCAAGCTTAAGGTACACAGTACGAATGAATGATCCACGATGGACAACGACAAGGAATAGGATTGACGTACAACAACGAGTAGGCTTGACATATCTCAACTTACTAGCAGGCTTTTAGTGCTATGCGAGGTGAGTTGCAATCTATTGTGTCGTATACATTGAGTTATATGTACTACGTACTAGAGAAGCCATTCCAAACAAAAATTGTGTCCTACTCTATGTCGTGACGCATGCGCGAAGACTTTAATATAAAATAAATATAAGAATTTAATAAGTATAAAATATCTTATTTTAATTTAAACAAACATATTTCTAAATAAAATGTAATAATACTTATCTTATAGAATTCACAAATCTTCAATTTACTCTATATTTAGTTTGTACGGATTGCAGTACAATTGAGTTGAACATAGTCAATGTTCTGAATGCGAAATCTAGTGCGTAGTACATGTATATCGATGGTCGTATAAATGTATATCCTTCTGTACCTTGTTCTATTCTGTGAGAAGTAATATTTTTCTTCTTATTGCTCGGAATCAGTCTTTTATTTAACAAGATAATTTAATTTATTATTTCTTAAAACATTACTCACGTGTTAGGTACGTATTTTGATTTAATGATTTAACTCTTCAGACGCTGCATTAACAAAACGCGCTGGCGACTTACGCTATGACGTCATCGTTAAATATACGTCGTGATTTCATTTTTCATTGCTGCAGTTGGCTCTTTTAGTACATGTTGTGTTGTATGAGTTGTATGAAGGAAGAAAATTACGTCATTAACGTTAGTCCTATATTACTCTACTCTATGCGTTAGGTCATAGTCATAGTCAGTGTCGGTGATCAGTGTGGTGTAGTGCAGTTCGTAGTTTGGAGAGGCTAATTTGAAGTTTGTGTTTTATGGACGTATTGCGCTGTTGCGCATTTCCGTAAATTTGACTCTTTTCTCCTGGTGAAAACTTATTTTTTCCGTCTAAATTACTCTTTTTGTTCGTGTGGTAAAAGCTAATAGTATAAAATGTTCAACGCAATTGGAGGTAAGTAAATATTACCTTGAAGCTTAATATTAATTTATTTTTGCATGTTTAAACATAATTTGTTTATGAAGGAATATTAGTACAAAGTTAAGTAAAATATGATCCCAACGTTGTAACGTATTAAGTATATTAATATTTTTGAAAACCGTTTAACTATATTATATTATTCAATTATTAAAATTACCTAAAAGTGGGTAGGCACCATTATTAAATATTAATATATTTTTTTTAATGAATAAGGGCCAAAGACCCAAAGAGTGAAAAACGATGTGTGGATGCTTTGGTCCATAGATATCTACTAGGGTTGCCGCCCGTACTATAATACCTATATAAATATAATATATCGTACTTCAGTCAACTGTACTTTAAATTATAGAAAAATAGTACCAAAAGTACTATATTTTGTCCCCTAATTGAACTGTCGCCAATTTTTATATTAACTGTGACTGAAGTTTGGAATAAGTAAGTTTTTCGGAAATATTTTTTTCCGTCATGAATGTTAAATGGAAAGAGAAATATATAATAAATTTAATTAATAAGAATTGTTAATTTATTTTAATAAGACTATATTGCTCTAGGAATCTATAATTATTTTAAAGGTTGAAGGCCAAAGCGAAGAGCAATAACAAATATATACGGAAAAATGCATAAAGATTAAAAATAAATTTGTACTTTTTTCCTGAATTTTCCAAAAGTACTAAACTTTTTGCATCTTTTTTGGGAAAAATACTATATTTGTTAAAAAAAAAGGTGGCAGCCCTAATATCTACTTCTATTCGCGACTAAGAATAAAAAGGCTGATGCGTTTGTCTAATAGTAGTAAATAATATTAATTTATAGTTTAAATAAACACAGTACGCGAGCACCCCGGGTTCGATCCCCGCCGGCACCAATGAAATTGTCAATTGCAATTTTAAGTGCTGTTTTAGCACGTGCTCGGCGGTGAAGGAAAACATCGTGAGGAAATCTGCATGTCTGAGAAATAAGAAAAAAAATATTTCAAAGACATGTGAAGTTCGGCAACACGCATTGGGGCAGCTCGGCGGACATTTACCTTTTTTTATAGTAGAAGGAGCAAACGAGCATGCGGCTCACCTGATGGTAAGTGACTATCGCCGCCCATGAACTACCGCAACACCAGGGGAATTGCAGATGCGTTGCCGGCCTTTTAGAAAGGTGTAAGTTCTTTTCTTGAAGGTTCCTAAGTCGTATCGGTCCGGAAAAATCGCTGGAACTTGTGCGAGGGAGAAAACTTCTTCTAAATCGCACAGTGGTGGACCGCCAATCATCGAGATGGTATGGATGGTAACGCGAGTTTTGTCGCCAAGTACGATGGTGAATTTGAGCGGCTGGAATTAATCCGAACAATTCCTCAGAGCACTCCCCGTGATAGATGCGATAAAATACGCAAAGACATGCAACATCTCTACGCAGTGCCAGTGTATCGAGCCGATCAGAAAAAACTCGGTCGTTGACGATTCGAACAGCTCTGCGCTGGATGCGGTCAAGTGGAAGGAGCTGGCACTGAGGTGCCCCGGCCCAGAGATGAGAACAGTATTCCACATGAGACCGAACTTGCGCTTTGTAAAACTGCAAGCGATGTGCCGGCATGAAATACTGTCGCTCTGCTGAGCACGCCAAGCTTTTTAGAGGTCAAATTGGCCTTCCCTTCCAAGTGACCACGAAACTGCACACTACTCGACATGTCGACTCCAAGGATTCCAATGCTAGCTGAGGCAGCAAGGGGAGTGCCTTGAAACTGAGGAGATACAACAAAGTGGTGCTTTTTAGCGGTAAACGCGCAAACTTGTGCCTTCTGAGGATTGAACTGGACTAGATTTAGTCGCCCCCAATCCGAGACTTTGTTAAGTAAAGACTCGACTTCAGACACAAGTTTGTCCCGGTACTCAGCGACGTTTTCCCGAGAAATATTGGCACGGCCGTTATATAAGGCATCACCAGTGCTGTCGTCCGCATAGCAATGAATGCTACCAGTTTGCAACGTATCATTGATATGCAGGAGAAACAGCGTTGGTGATGGCACGCAGCCTTGTGGAACACCAGCGTTGATAGGCTTGAAATCAGAGCATGCACCGTCTACTACGACCTTGATGCTCCGATCAGCAAGGAAACTGGTGATCCATTTGCACAATTTCTCGGGAAGCCCATTGGAAGGACGCTTCCGAAGAAGCGCTTTGTGCCAGATCCGATCGAAGGCCTTCGCTATGTCCAAACTAACGGCCAATGCCTCCCCTTTGGACTCTACTGCCTCCGCCCATCTATGTGTCAGATAGACTAGAAGATCACCAGCTGATCGACCCCGACGAAAACCGTACTGGCGGTCAGTAATCAGCTGGTGATCCTCAAGGTACCTCATGAGCTGGCAGTTTATAATGGATTCCATTATTTTGGAGAACAAGGAGGTGATGGCGATAGGCCTGTAGTTGGACGGGTCTGAGCGGTCGCCTTTTTTTAGGGATCGGGTGGACCAAAGCTGTCTTCCATGAATTCGGGACTACGCCCTAAAACCTGCCCTAAAACCCTCTCAGAAATGAGAGGAGGCCTGTGCCCAGCAGTGGGACTTACATAGGCTGTAACTTTAAACTTTATATTTATATAGTTTAAATAATAGCAAATATATGTATATACTAATACTTTATTTTAATCGCCGTATTAAAATATTAACAAAAAATTGCACAAGCCAATTTTCATTATTACTTTAATATTCTGTGTTATTACGAAAAAGTCCTGTATGATTCATCACATCTATAGTCTATACCCAAGTAAGCCAGGTTCATATATATATATGTATAGAGTTTAGAGGTATTTATATGCATCTAGGTTCTAGGTAATCATGTTTTAGAAATAAAAAATATTTTTGTGGACCATAGAGGGTCTATCAATTAACCCTACTACCTCTTAGTAGGGTTAATTGATAGATTCCTAAAAAATATACAATCAATTTACGTTTTTATAGCTTAGTGCATGTAAGTTGAATAGATATGTTATAAATATTTTAAACATAAATATGTTATATACGCAACATGCAAAGGGTATTTAATTTAAATTGCGTTTGGTACGAATGTGACACTGAAAGTTCTTAGAAAATCAAAAACTGAACAAACTAGCAAGTTATTACTTTTATTATATCTTTTCGAAATAGTGTCCATTTACATCAATACATCGCTACATCCGATGGAACCACTGAGAAAAGCACTTTGCCCACTCGTCCTTAGGGGTCTCTTCGACGGTATTTTGAAATGCAACCACTGCTTCCTCGGCGTCCATAAAACGTTTTCCTCGAAGTTTTTCTTTTATTTTCGGAAATAAATAAAAATCGCAAATGCGTGGTCGGAGCGGGTGACCCATTAATTCCACGTCTGACGTCGCCGACGTAGTCGATTGTTCGATTGTCACACCACCAAGCAAACAATCGAAGTAGTCGATTGTTTGCTTGGTGGTGTGCAACGAGGCGTCATCGTGGTGAAGAAGGATCCTATTACGAGGTCGTTTCTCCCGAACTTTTTCCAAGACAAGTGGCAAACAATTGTTAGTGTACCACTCTGCAGTAACTATTTTTCGACCCTCTAAAACAATTGTTGCGTAATGAATGACCTATCCTTCCGAAGAACGAGGCCACCATCTTTTTCCCACCTCTTCACTTTAGTTGGCAACTCCTCGGAAGGAAACACCCAGACAGCAGGCTGTCTCTTAGTTTCAGGATCATAACACTAAATCCAGCTTTCGTCACCCGTAAGAATGTCGAACACAGCATTTGAGTCACCTCCGTTAAATCTTTGAACCATTTCACGACACCAATCAACACGAAGGAGTTTTTGGGCCTCTATCAAATTATGAGGTATCCACCGGGCACAAAGCTTCCTGACCGCTAAATGTTCATGGAGGATTTGTGCACTTGACTCCTACTGATGCATAAGCTTGTCCGAATCTGCTGATAAGTCACTCGTTTGTCAGTCTCTATCATACGCCGCACAACACTGATGTTATCTTCAGTCATCGCCGTAGAATGTCGTCCCTTACGCAGATCATCGGTGTGATTAGTGCGACCACGTTTAAACTCATTAAACCAGTTGTAAACAGTGGCACGCGATGGGACTTCATCGTGAAAGGCCAATCGAGGTCTATCATAACTTTCTTGTTGACTTAAATGACATCGAACGTCATAAAAAATCATTGTACGAAAATTTTGTCGCGAAAAAAAGAAACGCGGCTGTTGATAATGTGGTCTCGAGTTCGAATTCCGGATCGGGCTAAAAATAAGTATTGGGCTTTTCGTTAGTAGTACGTGGTATTAGCGATGTCCCACCCCCGGTTCTCGTAAAGCTCGTGTCTCGTAATGCCCTTGGTCTCTCTGGTTCTGTCGAATTACCGTTGCATCGAACTATGAAAACGAGGGAATAGAGAGTGCACCTATGTTTGCACATAAACACGGGTGATATAATTCAACTTTCCAGATGGCTAGACTCTGGCTAAGACTGGCCGCCATGACCGAAATTCAGTTTGGAAGACGTTATTTTAATTATCCTTAAACCAGTTGCGAAGGTGGAGTTGGAGGCCGCCAAAGAGTATATAATTTTTTTTTATAGAATTAGGGTGATAAACGAGCACAGTCCATCTGATGGTAAGTGGTTACTGTGACCCATAGACATCTACATCTATCCTCAATAAAGACTCAAGATGCAGATGCGTTGTCACCCGTGAGGATTAAGATGGAATGCCTCTTTGCCAGTAAAAGGGGTCTCCGGTTCTCTACACTCACCATACGAAACACAGCAGCGTTAAGCTGCTATTTTACGCTGGTTTTCTGTGAGAGCGTGGTCCTTCTCGGTCGAGCCGACCCATTCGTGCTACAACTATACTACTAATATAGCTGCAGCATGGCTCTACCACGTAAAAAATAGTACATACAGTAAAGGAGTGGAATAATTCGCCATCATCTGCCGTTCGATCCGATTATAATGAGGGTGTCTTCAATGCAA